AGTCCCACTATTCGTTGATAAAAGAGTAGCCCAAGAGTTGGCGGTAGGTGGTGATGACTAGCTGCCTTCGCTTTTGTATTACACTGTTAAATTAGGGACAGCTAGCGCAGATAGTCCTCGTGTAGCTTTGCGCGAAATTCAAAAAACAAACAAACAAAAATATATACTAGTTGCCACAGACATGATTTGTCAAATACTTTAATAATAATTAAGATACTTGCAATACAATACAGTCTACGGACTTATAACGCTAGAAACCGGATTTCGATACCCGACGTGGGCACAGCACAGATAGCCCATTGTGTAGTTTTGTGCTTAACTACAAAAACAAAACAAACTTACAAAAAAGAAGAAGAAACTCTTCAATACAGACCATTAAAAATTCAAAGATATAAAATATAAAAAAGATATGTAACTTGAAATCATCGATGGTGAAAGGGGATGTCTTTCACATATGACACTTCATACCCAAAATCACATAGTAATAACCATTATGCTATCAGTAAATAGCAGTAATCTCCCTTAGGTGCTCACTATTTTTTGAGTCATCTGATGAGGAAGGATAATATCTCTTTTTCTTATAACTTGCTTTTTTTATCACAGTACGACTAGCAATAAACAGGAATAATAATAACTAAAGAAAAAGGAAAACAGCACACTAGGTGTACTCATTGTGTATGACTTGTGTGGCAGGCATATTTGCTTTAAACGAAGTCATCACATTGTTACCACACTGAAGAGGCTGAACACCCTGTTTGTTTTTTTTCTTGTAGTTGCTGGGAAATTCTAGGGTCTGATCTTCCTCTTTCAGGATGAAACTTTCCATGGAAACAAGATGAAACTTTGGCACACGAGTGAAAGGAACACCACTAGCTAGTTGGAGAACAATTTTAAGATGCATCCATAACTTGAGCTCTCGTCGTGAAAGTAGACATTGAAAATACAAGCTTGGTGAATCATAATTGATCAAAATGTCAGCCAGGTGTATAGGTTGAAAGCAACATACATTTGGTTACAACCATTACTCACTTCTAAAAACTACCTTTAGAAACTGAGTAATGTTAAGACTACCTTGATCAATTGACAATTCTATCGGGTTCACATGTGCATGCTCTACTCTCCTATAGAATATAGAATGCATATCCCTGTCATCTGAAAACTGCTCGGTTCACAGGCCCCTTTGAGTCTGAACTTGACAACATCTTCTTTAGCCATTCCTGTGGCAATGGAAAGCACACACACTATATAACCGGATTATACACATATATGCTGAGCAAGAATAGAAGAAAAGTAGTCTTCAGTTTTAACTATTAGATTCACCAAAGTTGCATTGTCTTTCCTCAGGACCTTCTTTTAGTTACAAGTTTGGTATCAGCAATGGTACAATATATAAAGTTTCACCACTTGGGTGCTACTCTGTGCTTCCCCCTATTACTGAAATAATATTAAAAAATTATCCAGAAAATTGTGATTTTCTAAATATTTCAAATGGAAGGATTGAAGATATTTCATCACAACCAAATAAAATAGTGGGTACACCAAGTTCATATTTGTTATGACAGTTAAGCTAATGTTTTTGAATTTCATATACTACTGATGATTTCACCTAGATAAACATATTAATTCAAAACAATCAAAATATCCTGCACTACAAAACGTAAAACTGTTTTTTCTCTCAAACATAGTTTTGCACAGCTCGAAAAACCACAGATAAATCTGCGATTTCCCTCGAATAAATCATGAGTTTAACCGTTAGTTTTATCCTTCCATGAACATTCACTAACTACCAAACATTTCAATCTAAATATTGACACGTTCTCTCACGATTATTAATGAAAATAACAATAATTTTTAAACGATACCACACAGGTTAGTAATCACAGTTAACCTCATATTGCAAAGTCTTAATATCCAGATCAAATCCTTTGTTTGTATTTGCATATGGCTTAATAATCCATAATTGTGCTCATTTTGCATTTCGTTCATTCATGTTATTCAACACTCATGAATGACTTAATGTAATGTTTTCACATGTATAGGACCATACACATGTATTTATTCAGACATGTATATTGCATATAAATTTACCTCCATTACACCATGTCACATTCACTAATAGTTTTTCAACCAGTCATTTCTGACTCTTTCTTATATTACATTGTAATTATCTCAGT